ATTCTTCAAGCTGTGCAGCTGTTTTTTCCTTCCCTTCCTGAACTGTTTTCCATATTGACGTGAACTCACGAGCACCCAAATTTCCTATCTGACCTTTCCAGTCGCTATTGCTAATTTGGTCCTATTTAGTTTTTGAAAAGGGTACATGTTCAAGGCAAACATCTCCAACTTACTATTTCGTTTAAAGAAAATTGCAGGAAGTACTTGGGTGTGGAATTACGTACTGGACTGCATGGTCTGTTTGAACCACAAAGTCAGCAGTTCAAACCCATCAGCTGCTCATCAGAAACCCTATACAGAGTTGCTATGAGTCTGAACTTACTCGATAGTACTTAACAACATTCGTATTTAGTTGACTATTGTTATAATATGAGACATAATTTAAACAGTAGAATAAAGAAATGCTTTCTAATGTATCATGAATATTTATACTTAAATTTTTCTTTTTTGATAGTCAAACAAAAACTTGGACATTTCAATTAATGCATCAAACAACTTTAATCTCAATATTACATGGTCTGTTGGTTCAACAGGTAAGAGAATTTTAGTATTATGTCCCTTTCATGTTTGTTTCTATTAGAAACTCATTCCAAGATGACCAGTTACTTTTAATTTAATTAATTTTAAAATAAAAAAGTATTTTATGCCATATTCAATGCAGTGTTACAGGTATAGATAAAAAGTAACAATGTGAGTAAGGCTGTATCAGTTTATTAACTTTCTCTCGTATTCAATTAAAATTAGATGGGTAGCAAAACTTGCAATTCTTTAAATGGTAGTGTTATGAAATGCTGTGATTTTAATTAAGATTGATTATTTCTTTAATGAGTAAAGAGGCTGAGATTTCAATTATTTGATACAATTTTGAAGCCCCAAATTTAATTATTAACTATAATATTATATCAAACAATGGAGTTCTTCTGTGTTTATTGATAAAAGTAACAACTTATCTATTAAATTTAGAAATGCAGCCCCTTTGTCCATGTCAGTACTGAGAGAGGGAACAAAATACATTTATAAGTCTCCCATAATAAGGTTTATATATTAGAATTATTGACTTTTTTAAAGTACAAATTTATGTGGTGAATTATGAAAAAAAATTGTACTCACTCTCTGAGGCTCTGTCTTAGAGGATTCTATTTTCCACCTTTTGTGTTAGACATACACTATTGCCCAAAGTGTACTAGAAAACTATTTTTGAGTTTTTTTGTGTGTGTGGTTTTCATTTGTATAGAAAATATATTGATGCTTAAAAAATCCATATTTGATCCATGAAAATGATGACATTATAGTGTCCTCCTGTGGCGGTGTAGGATAAGTACTGGATTAGTAACCATAAGGTTGGCAGTTCAAACCCACCAGCTGCTCCTTGAAACCCCAGGCAGGGTCACTGTGAGTCAGAACTGACTCGATGGCACTTAACTAAACAAAAGAAAACAGTGCTAGTTCTATGTGTAAGGACATGGGAATATAGAATTCAAGAGTGAAGAGAGCTTTGGTAGTTCCAGAATCTATATTGCATTTGTAAAATGCCAAAAACTTAGACAAAAAGTATTTGGGCACTTTTTAATATGCTTCCAACATACCATAAAATCTCTACCGTGTGAGTCTCATTCATTAAGAATTCATGATGACTTGCCCTGGTAATTTGAAATTTACATTTGCATAATAATAAACAGGACTCTACATGGATTTCAAAACTTGTCTAAAATATGCATGACCCATTTCTAATGACTTTAGAACACTGATTTTAGGTGGCAAGAAATCACTTGTAACATCCAGATGCCCAGACAAACAACTCAGAAACTTTGATTAATTAGCAAGGGGATGAAGTTAGGGAATCTTTATTTTTAAGAAAGTGTCCTGGGTAATTTGGAATAGATGATCGTTCAAAATTATTACATTTGCTCCTCATACCGATTGGTGGTGGTGGTTATGTGCCCTGGAGTTGGTTCCGACTCATAGCTGTAAATCTTTGCAGCAGCAGAAAGCCTCATCTTTTTCCCATGGAACAGCTGGTAGTTTCAAACTGCTGACCTTAAGGTTTGCAGCCCGATTCGTAATCACTATGCTATCTGAGCTCGTACTGATTATGATTATCTTTATTAGCCATTGAAATAGAGGTGTTGTACGTTTATTGGTACTGCTTTGTTACAGTGGGTTAACTTCAATAAATGCATATTGTGAGTGCCCAATGTGCATTTTACTAATTGTGCATTTAGCTCATATTTTAGATTATGGCCTCCTCCCAGTATTTTTCAAACATGGTAGTTCAATATGTGGTAAAATATAAACTGATTTAGTTTCCATTTTTAATTGAATAAGAGACACACAAAAATATGTTTTGAAAGGCTCTAAAGGAGCTCTCGTAGCGTAGTGGTTATGAATCGGGCTGTGAACCTCAGGGTCAGCAGTTCGAAACTACCAGCTGTTCCGTGGGAGAAAGATGAGGCTTTCTGCTCCCATAAAGATTTACAGCCTCGGAAACCCTGTACAGGGTCGCTATGAGTCGGAACCGACTCCATGGCACACAGCTACCACCACCAATGCAGTCTTGGTGTGGCGCTGTGGGTAATGCGCCAGACTGCAAAGCCGTTTGAACTGCAAGGTCAGTGGTTCAACCTCACCAGCTACTCCTCGGAAACTTTATAAAGGGTCGCTATAGGTAGGAACCGACTCAACTGCACTTAACAACAGCAACAATAACATATGCCTGAGTTCCAAATGGTAGTTTACTAGTTGCTAACACTAAACATGGGGGCCAGAGCTTTAATCTGTCTGAGCCTCAGCTTTTAATTTGAAAGTAGGAGTAATAATAATCTCCTTTGTTGTTGTTAATCACCGTCGAGTCTGTTCCGACCCGTAGTGACCCTATATAGGGTTTCCGAGGAACGGCTGGTAAGCTTGAACCACTGACCTTGCAGTTCAAACCGACTTTGCAGTCCAACGCATTAGCTCACGGTACCACAGCAGGACACCATAATATCTCCTGGTGGTGGCGGTGGTGGTTGTGTGCCACCTAGTTGGTTCTGACTCATAGCGACCCCCGAATAGGGTTTCCAAGGCTGTAAATCTTTACGGGAGCAGAAAGCTTCATCCTTCTCCCACAGAGAGACTGGTAGATTCGAACTGCTGTCCTTGCAGTTAGCAGCTCAGCTTGTAATCCACTGCACTACGAGGGCTTTTTTAGTATCTCCTAGAGAGAGTAATTATTAGAAAGGAAGATACCGTTTCTAACCCAATTCCTAGTAAATAGTAGGTAATAATTGACAGCATTTAAAAAAACCTATTTTTTATACTCAGTCCATTTCCATTCTTTTTATGGCAGATCTGTGTAGCTGTTGTTCTTTTATCGTTGTAAATTGTCAAAGTCAGTGTATCTGGAAATTATGCTTTTTATGTGTGCAATTGTGAAAAAAATGTGTAAGTGTAATATATTTTTAACTTCTTAAAGATTTGTTTCCTAGTGTGAATTATTAAAATTATTATTATTATTTGCATTTTAGCTGGAACAATATCTGGGGAGGAGACTCCAATAGTTTCCAAGACCAATATAAAGGAATACAGGGATAGTTTTTCCTATGAAAAATTTAACTTTCGAAGCAATCCTAATATTACATTCTATGTATACGTCAGCAACTTTTCCTGGCCTATTAAAATACAAGTAAGTGATAGAAATATTTCATCCTAATTAAATACTGAACATTTTCATTACAAAGTGAAATACTGTTTTTCTTAAACTATGGGAAAGATGTATTTCTTGACTTGAAGAAAGCTAGAACTTGTATTGATCGTTGGTGACTGACTTCAAATGTATTCATAAAAAGCACTCATGCCAATAACATTGGATCTACAGAAAATGTAAGACAATGTTTCAATGATTATTTTATTTTTAAGGAAATGCATCAAAATTTGAAATAACTAAGATGTTTCAGTTTTCTGATTGGTTTTATACTTGGAAGTTTAAGTGGATATGCCTTTTCTTGCATCCTTAAAGATTTAGGATTATTAGCTCTTAACTGTTACTTTTTAAGACCCATATCATCTCATTATTGATTTCCATTTCTGTGTCATATTCAATTTTAGTTGTGTTTAAATGTAGGCTTTTGAAAGTTTGAGGTTGTATTTCTGGGAAATATTTGAGAATTTCTGTCTATCTTGGAAAAGTCAAAGTTTGTGTTCTTAATTTATGCTTTTATAAAAGAAAGACTACGTAGGTGAAATTGGAACTTGCTGAATTGTTCATTCTTTCCTGACTGGCTGATTGATTGATAGTGAATTGCCTATTAAAGTCACAGTGATTTACTGAATAGGTCATATGACAAATCCTGTGCTCAAATGTTGTGTAAAAGATAGTTTAAAGATACTTAAAAAAATAAAGATTTGTATATCCTTGCTGTTTCATATTAATAAATAACAGCTTATGCTCTATGACTTAAAATATGTACACATTGTATTTATATTAATTTCTATGTGATCACTTGTGGAAAGACTGAATTTAAAAAAAAACAACAACATATATTTTGGGCTGCTAACCAAAATGTTAGTAGTTCGAATCTTCCAACCGCTTTGTGAGAGAAAGATGAGGCTTTCTGCTCCCATAAAGATTTTCTGCTTTGGAAACTCTGTACAGGGTTGCTATGAGTTGGAACTGACTCAATGGCACATAACTACCACCACCACCACAATATGTACACTAGAACAATTATTTGTTTTTATATAATAAGGTTAATTTAACACCTACATTAGTGTAATTACTTAACTATTCAAGAACTGTTACTACAAATTACTACTCATTAGTTAATAATGAAAAGTTATTTGAGAAATAAATGTATTTTTTATTACACAGTGACTGACTTAGATAATTACACAGTTTAATAGATTCAAGAAATATTTTCATAAAGATTCATTCCATTCCAACATTGACTATCATTTTATTTAGTACGTATGAATGAGATACCATTTGGTTCTGAAAGATGCAGATATAAACACTGGTCAGATTTCACTTGGTTTATTCAGATTATGATTGAAGTAGGTGTAAGTAGGGCTCATCTGTAGAGCTTATTGCTAGGTGATGTCAAGTTGGCTCTGTCTCATAAAAGCTCTGTGACTAACAGGATGAAGTGCTACCCAGCCCTTGTCATCCTCACACTCAGTGCTTTGTGAAGCTGTTGGTTCATGGCATCGCCTCCATCTAGGTCTATGCAGGTCTGAAGGGGCTGTTTCCATCTCTCTAACCCTTCCCTGAAGAATTCTATACCCCACATCAAAATGGCATTTTTGCCGTCCTCAAGGGATTCAAATCATGCTCCTTTTAAGAAGTCTGAGGGATAAGATAAGACCTGTAGGATGGATGAGGTAAAGTTTTCCAATGAAATGCTCAGATGTCAACCCTTGCTATCATTGAAGAATGAGTAGGTGCTTCATCGAGTTGGAAAAAATTCCTCAGTGCAACTCTCCTGGCCCCTAGCTGGCCAATGTAGGTTTTAATTTTCATAAAACTTCTTCCTAATAAGCCCACATGATCGTTCCATGTCCTTTGAGATAAATCTATTAAGATTCTGAACTGATGCTCTTTCTTGAATTTTCGGGGCCAGGAGATCCCCTTAGAAGTCAAAGTTTTTTTTGACATTTTGTTTGAAAGCACCCTCAGGAGATTAAGACAAGTTCTGTTTTTGAGCAAATTGTCTGCAGCCATCTACTGAAGACAGACACTTTTTAAACACATTTTGGTTTGGAATACACCCATACATATAGAAATTGAAACTCTAATAGCAATACTTTCTGAATTACTCTCATGCCTTGACTTACGGCAGGTGCATCTTAGTCCCTTAGTCTTCAAAATGACATCTTTGCTTTTGAACAGTTTAAAGAGGTCTTCTGTAGCTGATTTGCTCAACGCACTATGTCATTTGATTTCTTGACTACTATTTCTATGGGTGTTGATTGTGGATCCAAGTAAAATGAAATCCTTGATAGATATAGTATTTTCTCTGTTTATCATGACGCTGCTTATTGGCCCAATGATGAGGATATTTATTTTCTTTATGTTGAGGTATAAACCTTACTGAAGTCTGTGGTTTTTCATCTTCATCAGTAAGTGCTGCAAATTCTCCTTGCTTTCAGCAAGCAGTGTTGTATTATGTGTGTATCACAGGTTTTTAATGAGCTTTTAAAACTTCATACAGTCTAGTTTCTCGAATTCTGTGCTCAGCCTACTGATAGAATTATTGTGGTGGAATGATCCAACCCTGACATATACCTTTCCTAATATGAACCATGCAGTATTCCTTGTTCTTAAAATTGATGTAATTGTTACATTGTTTTAATTGTTTCATGCCCTTTATTTCTTGGTTATCTAATTATATTTTATGTATTAGTAAATTACATAGTTAACTTAGAATTTTCATGAATATTTAATTGTTAGAAATTAACTTTCTAAATTGGATTTTCTTTTGAGACCTTATCAGTAATATATTCTAGAAACCCAAGTCAGAACTTGTGTAATATAATGGAAATACCCTACTATAGTGGGGTCCTACTTGTGGCGCTGTAGAATAAACACTGGACTGCTAATGATTAGATCAGCAGTTCAAACCCACTGGCCTGCTCCTTGGGAACCCTATACAGTGTTGCTATGAATTGGAACCGACTCAACAGCACTTAACAACAACACCCACTATTGTGAAGCATAAAAAATAACTACAATGGTCAAGATCTATGGAGCCTAATTCCTACTCACTGAAGAATGCTTATATTATAACACATAAGCATGTGTATTTGTTTATGGGACTATAATAAACTTTAAACATGAAGTATCAAAATTATTTCAATTAAGATTTACAAATTTTGCACTTCACCATTTTCCTGTTTTTTAAATTTCTTTCTTTGCTGGCACAGAGCGTTATCTTTCTCTGTAATATTTAGTTCCTTTCCTGTGAAATCTGACGTCTAAGGCTGAAATGAATGTCTTTAGTTTTACTTCTCAAAAATTTCCAAGGTTTTCTAGAAAAATGAATTTTTAGACTTCTTGCTGCATAAATACTAATTTCAGGACTCTGGGAAGATTCAGATTTTTAAAGCTATTGTGAAAATCATGTAATTAAAAATAAAATGGTTTAATAAATAGGAAGAAAAAAAAACTTATTAAATTGGAGTATTTTAGCAAATATACTTTAAAAAATATTTTCACTTTTTAACATTTAACCTTGAATTCTGGCAAACTGAGATTTTAAGTCAGTTACGGAAGAGTGGAAGTGTTTAGTGCTGTTTGGCTATATGGAGTTATGGTGATCTAATCTTCAAGAGGTCTCCACTTAAACTCAGAATATGGAAGGTAGATGACCTCTACTTCTATGTCCATATTTTGCCAATTGTGAGAACACTGAAATGATGTTTTAAAATGAAGAAGAAGCACACTACTACATATTTACGCAGATACCCATTCCAACAGTCTTGAGTACTTAATAATAGTACAGTATGGTAGAATATAAACTATGCTTCATTATTTACTCAAAGCCAGTGATTAGGGACTATGAACTTTATATATTCTTATTTCTTCCTGGCTGAGCTCGGACAGTATGTGTCTCTCAAGAATTTTACCCATTTCATCTACTTTATTGAATTTACTGACAAGAAGCTGTGAGTAATAATTAAGTATTCCATAGTGATTTAATATATGATTGGTATTTTAATCACCTCATATGCATGTGAGAGCTGGACAATGAATAAGGAAGACCAAAGAAGAACTGATGCATTTGAGTTATAGTGTTGACAAAAAGTATTGAAAGTACCTTGAACTATCAAAACAACAAATAAGCCTTATTTTTGAAGAATTGCAGCCAGAATACCCCCTAGAAGTAAGGATGGTGAGACTTTGTCTCATGCAATTTGGACATATCAGGAGGGACCTGTCCTTGGAAAAGAACATCATACTTTATAAAGTCAGAGGGTCAATGGAAAAAGGAAGACCTTCAATGAGATGGATGGACGCAGTGGCTACAACACTGGGCAACACTGTGAGGACGATGCAGGACTATGTAGTGTCTTGTTCTGTTGTACGTAGGGTCACTAGGAGTCAGAACCAACTCAGTGGCATCCAATAACAGCAATCTATTTTTAATATTATAGTGAGTTATAAGGTGCATTCAGTAAAGTGTTGAAATCTTAAGCGTGCAACTTGATGAGCTTTTACACTGCTATGCTCCATAAAGCTACCACCCAGATCAAGATACAAGTGTTTCCAATATCCCAGGGGCTCCCCAATCTCCATTCCTGTTCAGTGCCCTTCTCCAGAGCAGCTCTACTCACTTCTGTATGCATAAGTACTTTGGTTGTGGTGGTAGTGGTGTGCTGTGGACTCGGTTCCAACTCATAATCACCATGCATAGGATTTCTGACGCTGCAGATCTTTACAGGAGCAGAAAGCCTTATCTTTCTCAGCAGAATGGCTGGTAGTTTCAAACTGCTGACCTTGAGGTTAGCAGTCCAATTTGTAATGACTTTAGTCTGTCTTAACTTTACATGTTGAGTGTGACGCTGTAGGATAAGCACTGTACTAATTGTAAGGTGGGCAGTTCAAAGTCACCAGCTGCTCCATTGAAGAAAGATGACGTTTCTCAGAAACCCTATGTGGGGTCCCTGTAAGTTGGAACCAACTCCATG